GTTGACAGTGTTACATCTCTTTGGGTTGTCTGTATTACATGTCCCTTATGAGTTAACAGTATTATATTCCTGTATGGGTTGTCAATATTACATGTTCCTTTTAAGTTGACAGCATTACACTGGCCTTTATGAAATGTCTGTATTAGTCCTACATATCCCTCGTGAGTTGATAGTATTACATCCCTTATGGGTTGACAGTATTACATATCCCTTATGAGTATGTGGTTAAATTATAAAGTTAAATTAAGCTTGAAAAGTGACCTTTTTAAACATCAGTGAAAGAAAGTTTTTTTTTTTCTAAAAAATTGAAGCAGCTGACCGTAGATTTTGAGATTTTGGAGAGATGTGCTACCATAAGTATTGCAGTTTTTGTTTTCTTATATTCTAGATGACTGTAGTCAAACAGATCGTGATGAATTTAACACAAATCTACGAGCTAATTTCCGCAAAGAATATGATCGTCTTCCGCCATCCACGACAGTGAATCAAGTTGGCGACATTGACATGCGCATCATCCAATGGAAATTTGACGAACTTGACAAGGATGAAAATGACGAGATCGACCTTAGTGAGGTTAAATCTTTGCAAAGGATGTTGAAAAAATTTGTCAAGCCTAAAAAGTGTGCAAAAACATTTTTTGTGCATTGTTCCTCAATGCATGAGGGCCAGATCACAAGGAAAGCTTGGTCCGAGTGTCTGGGTCTGGCGACGAGTAAGTTATTGCATCTAGATTAATGCATGAGCATCAGTTATTGTTAAATCACAAGATGTTATAGCTAATTTTGCCAGTTTCCCTCAAGTCAACTAAGCACTAGAGTGTTCGCTGTCTGGTTAAGAATGGATTCCAAATCATACAAATTACCGGATTCAATGTCGGTAATTGACTTTAACTTGTACATACTAATGGTGGTCGTGTTTGTATTGTCTTATGTCTGTGTATTTTTTTTCCTTCTGAGCATGTTCTGTAGTCTTGTCATTTAATAAGTCAGTCTTTGATGTAGTTTGATTGACAAAATACACTTTTCCTTGTCAGGATGTGGCCATGCACTTCGTGGAATACTCCTTGGCAAACTGACAGACCTACTTCCGCGGTATCCCGGTCACGTCACCGGTTTAATAACCGTTACACAACGATAATTTGCATTTATGATTTTTTTTTGTGTGTTTATTGAGTCAAATGAATGTAAACAATTAGATTAACTTTTCATGCAGAGAGGTTGATTGGTTTGCAGAATGATAGCACACCATAAGAAATAAACTATCTGATATTTGGTGTCCATTTACCACTGATGTAAAGATCATTCTATTATGGGAAAATATAATGCATCGGCATGGAAATAATTTAATTAACTCATCATTAACATTCCATACTAATTTTCTTGTGTATTTAACATAAATAATAATGTAAATCTAATGGTTCCTAAAATTTTCTGGTAATATAAATTTGCGGTAAAATTAATAGGAAAAACTTTGAAGTGATCTTTGTCTATTACAATAATTTTAGTTA